TCATTATTTTTAAGAAATGAAAATATAAGTTTGTGGATGTTCTTCTGAATACTTTTCTCTAAAAAATACTTATTGATATTAATTATGCCATGTGCTCCATCTCTCTCTAGTCTTTTTTATTTATCTGGTCTGATGTTTCCTTAACTGAAAACATCTTTTTTCTTAGTTTATCAATTTATCTGTCTGAGCATGATCTCTTCTTTATTAAATTACTGCAAATCTTTGTACTGCTTTAGTTTGATCACATTGTATAACTTATTATTTTTCTTTAATATGGCATTTGTAAATCAACAGGCTGAGATTATACTTAAATCTTGAGATTTGAAAGCAAGTTTAATATTTCTAGGATAGGAAGATAAATCCCCTTTTTCACCACTGGAGGCATGAATGGGGCAGCTGTCCTTGATGCATCACATAGTTTGTACTTCATCACAGTCACAATGTGGTGATTCTTTGATTTTCCATTTGTTGAGAAGATATTCATACCTTTCATCCATTGTATAAATGCACTTGAGTGCAGTCTACTACCCGCAGTGAAGGCACACTTGCAGGATATCTTTAGTTGGTTCTTCAATCGGTTCTTTATTTGGGATGACACAAATGGCCCACAACTGGAGCCAGAAAGTACTAGCAGCTTTTCATATCGCCTATAGCATTGGTGTGTATGTCCAGAAAGGCTTCCTGGATTTGAATAGGGAAAGTCTTAGTGTTTTGGCAAGTATGGAGTGGCCAGAATCTATTTATACTCATAAGCTATGTCCACACTTCAGGCTTTTTGCGCAAGAACTGTTTTGCACAAAAGGTCTTGCGCAAGAGCGTGTCCACACTGCCATATGCTTTTGCGCAAGAAATGTGCTTTTGTGCAAGAGCGTCTATGGCAGTGTGAATGCTCTCTTGCGAAAGAAACCTCTGATAACCATTTTAGCCATAGGGGTTTCTTGCACAAGAAACCCCTGTTGCCCATCCACATTGCCTTCTTGCGCAAGAGCTCTTACAGAAGAGGGCTTATTCCTCATGGGCGGAGGAAAAACTGTTGCGCAAGAAGCCCTTTTTTCTCATGCTTTACTGTAAATTTATTTGTGCAAGAACACACGTGGAGTGTAGACGCTCGGCAAGTTTTTGCACAAGAACAGCCATTCTTGTGAAAAAAGCCTACAGAATAGTAGCCCAATGAAGGACTCATTAGCATATTTTCTGCTGATGCTTTTTGCCAGAGACATAAGGATTTTGTACAAAAGAGGTTTTTTGCACAAGGTCTTGCACAAGAGCGTGTCCACACTGCCATGTGCTTGTAGCCTTTGCGCAAAAAGAATCAGCAGAAAATATGCTAATGATGATGCCCTCTTCTCCACAAGGTTAAAGCAGGCCCTGAGGCTGAGTTCAGCACGACCCGCAGGCCCTGAGGCCTAGTCCACGCCCTGAGGGGATGGGGTAGGGGGGTCCGGGACCTACCTCTCCACCAGACCCCAACCCAAGGCCCTAGTAGTGGTGGGTGGTTCCCACCACCGGCTCGGCGGGGAGTTCTCCCCAAAACGCGCCAAACCCACTAGAGGTTCCCTGTCTCTTGCCCTGGGTTGCTTCCTACCCCTGCCCTGTGGCCGACGGAGACCACACCTGGCGAAGCTGGGGCGGCGGCGGCAGCAATGTCGGCAGGTCCCGTGTCTGGGGCAGCAGCGAAGGCCTTTTATACTGAGGCTGCACTGCGAGCATGCCCAGCAGGGCTACGGGGCAGGGGCATATTCTACCCAATAGATGGGCTCTCCTCCCCCCTGCTCAGTGCGGGGCAGGCCAGCCCCATCACAGAGTTATTGCACCAGAATGTTGTGAAATATTTCACTTTTGACAAGACCAGATTTTATAGAGTTATTCAAAGCATGTGCATATCAAGTCAGTGGAATGTCTTCCTTTTTTTTTCCTTGTCTTCTTTTTTTTTTTTTTTTTTTTGGTGTTTTCGAGGTGCTGGCTCTATTTCCAAATAAGGGTGACGCCAAATTACCATGGATTGTGGCCAGATGAAAGACACAGACTACAAAAGTTCACTTTTAACAACACTTTGGTTTCATGGTTATTCCTGTGGTAGGCAGAGGCAAATGTGTTTCTGAAGATTTGGGTTTCAGTTGCCAAATTCTGAGATGTCTTTCAAGTGCCTGAAAGATCAGTTCATGATCTTTTCTGTGGCCTTCATTGAAGATGTTTGTATGGACCGAGCAATATTGTCTGCATAGATGAATTTATGGGGTGATATGACTGGAATATCATTGATTTATACATTGAAGAATGCAGATGCTAAAACAGATCCGCATGTGAGGTCATTGTTCAGTGTTCATGATTTGTTGGCAGATTCACCACAGTACAGTGTGACCTTTCTATTTACTCAGTGTCTTGATGATGAGTTTAATTATTACCTGGGGGGTCTTCTGAACCCAAAGTTTTGGGTAACTTTAGTCTTTGAGAGGCAGTGTCACCCCAAATGTATAGTTATCCCAGATCTCAAATGGTTTTTGTATGATCAATAGTAGGTTTCTCGTACACATCCTTGCATCTGCCACTGGGGATCTTAAGATGCATGCATCCTCTCAGGTCAAATTTTTTCCTCCCTTTTTATTCTTGTGTTAAATAGGCTGGCAATCACTAATAACCATTAAGCAAGAAGTTTCAAGCCATACATACATCAGCAGTTTAAAATAAAGCCCCACAGCATGGTGCTAATTTTTCTGATCTCTCCTACCCCCAGCTTGCCTATCTATTCTAAGGTTGCTACATTGGCCTTATGGATGCTTTTGGCAATAAGCATGATAATCAATTTCCAGTCACTAGCAGTGGGCTATGCATCTTGCTGGGCTGTCAGTGTCTTCCCTAACATACTGGTTGACTGACGTGGGGAAACTAATGATTACTTCTGACGAGGACCTTTACACTGCAGTATTACATGAAGAAGAAAAGTCAATGAATGTCACTGCTGTTTTTAATTTTTGATGACAGCCAGATTCCATCTATTGGCATTAAGACCAGCACCTTCTCACAACATTTGTGACCAGTTGTAAATTCACCATGCTCTTTGGGGACCAATAATTCCAAATAGGCTGTAATCTTTGACGTAGAAGCTGCTCCAAGCATTACAGACTCCATGAGGCATTTTGTTAAAGTAATGGGTTTGAAAAAAAAACAACAACCAAAATTTTCCCTCTTCTCTTAGGGGCAGAGTTTAGGGGAGAAATTGTCCTCCCAGCCTGCAGTGCCATAACCAGAGCAGGGCTGCTCCAAGGGCCGCTCACCTTCTTTACCTCTGCCTCTCTCAAAAGATCCACTGGGCAGCACAGAGTGACTGATACCCTGGCTGGTTACATAGACCGGGTGGACACAACACTCCAAAATCTCCTCCTCCTGGTGCTAATACCTGGAACTCTGGCTGCTCTTTAGATCACAGCCCCCTTTGACTGGATGCTCAACCCATAAGAGCCACTTAAGACCTTGTGGAGTTGTGATCATAAGGGGCATTTTTGGCACACAGCCCTCCTCTGACACACATCCCTTGCCTGTACCCTGAGTGGGTTTTTTTTTTTCAAACTTCTTATTGCCTCCACCGAGCTATTATTTTTGGTTGTGCCTCCACACTAGCTAGACAGAGTGGCCTGCTGAGATGAGTCAGGGGGTAGAGGTGGAGCTTCCTCCTTGGACCCCACCACAAGGAGTTTCCCTGAACTCCACTGGGTCTTTCATCATCTCCCCCACACATAGAAGTCAAACTATTCTATGATTGTACACATACTATTCATTATTTAGCTGTTGACATCCCTCCAGAGGTAGGAATAATTCAATTGTGTTGTAAGTAATCTGTATAGCATACATATATTGTAAATGGAGTTGAGATTAAAAATAAAATATACAAGTACTCCAACCTATATGGACATCTGCCAGGAAATTTGAGTTAACTAATGATAATGATTGGCAACACTTCATTTACTCAAGACACTATTTACCATACATTCCATTTAATAAAAATGAAATTATCTTATGCCAAGTATTTAAGTGGTGTTTTAACTGATATTATATGTCTGAATTTCCAAACCCTAGTTTTTAATACACAAGTTGTTAAATAATAGAGATATATATCAGGTTATTTGGGAGCCTTGAATGCCAGATGGTGGCTGTAGCCAAAGGGCATTTAGGTACTGAAGATATTAAACCAAATAGTTACAAATCATAGAAATTAGAGATATCATGAGAACCTGTTTTGGCACTTTCTCTCTCCTTTAAAACAATTGCCTGCAAATGTCTAGAACTGACACAGTGTTGATGTTGAAAAATCAAGCATATAGGGTATGTCTACACAGCAAAATTATTTCAAAATAACAGCCATTATTTCGAAATAACTTTCCTAGTGTCTACACAGCCAAACCGCTATTTCGAAATTAATTCAAAATAGCGGAGGGCTTATTTCAAATTTGGTAAACCTCGTAATAACATCAAATTTGAAAAAGCTAAATCAAAATAAGTGCTGCGTAGATGCTTATTTCGAAATAGGCGGCCTCTAGCCCTTCCCAGAGTGCTCTGGTGGCCACTTTGGGCACAACCAGGAAAACTCTTCTGCTCCCTCCACCAGCCCCAGAGCCCCTAAAGGGGTAGACTCTGACCACAGTGCCTGTGCAGAGCCAGCAGTCCATGCACCTGGCACAGCATGAGTCAGCAACCCACTAGCACCCAGCCCTTCACCGCTCCCCAGGAGTATGTTGGCAGCTCCCAGGAGCCTGCCAGGGGTCACAAAAGGTGGGAGCCTTCCTGGTCTAGTGCGGAGATCGTGGACCTCAGTGAGGTTTGGGGGGAGGCATCCAATGTCCACAATCTCCGCACTAGATGGGCGGATGGCTGCCAGCCTGGCCACCAAGGCCACATGCGCACCCAGGAGCAGGTGCGCATGAAAATCAAAGAGCTGTGGCAGGCCTATGCCAGGGCCTCGGGGGGCAGCTCCCAAATGGGGGCTGACCCAGACCCCTGCCCCTATTATGATGCTCTGGACTGCATCCTGGGGGGGTCAGATGGACCGTGCCCCCCAGATGGTCATCAACTCTGGGGCAGAGGGCCCTGCCCATGATACCGATGAGGAGGAGGAGAAGGAGGACAGCTAGGAGCCGCAGGAGCATGGAGGGAGTGTGCCCCACATCCAGGACTCTCAAACCATCCCAGCAAGCCTGTCGCCAGTGTCATCTGAGGTCGGGGAGACCTCGACACGTGAGTACCATCACTGTCCTCTTATGAGAGGCAAGGGGAGGGAGGGAGAGGGAGAGCAGGGACCGCATGTGTGGGCCTTGCTGACCACGGAGCATGCAGCAACCTGTGCATGTGCCATGCCACCCTGGGCATGTGGCCCCGTCTGGCTGCCACATAGGGGCCCTGGCCTGTTACCCACAAGCATGTATGTATGAAGGCACATGACATGTTCCTGACCCCGGGGACGGACACTGCATGATGCCCTCCCTTCACGTGCCCCCTCTACACAGAGGCAGGGCACATCTCCCTTCTCCCCTCCACCCCCAACACTAGATACAGCACAGGGGCATAGGTGCAGTCCTAGGCCAGCTCACACTCCCGAGGATGGCAGGACATGCCGAAGATGGCCTGTGTGCAAGCACATTGGCTCCGACAGTACGGAGACCTGCAGTCCTCGCTGTTCAGAGGAGGATGTGCAGAGAAGTATCCCTCGCCATGCAGAGAAGTATCCCTTCCGGTTGATGTACAGGGAGGCGTAGTGGTCCGGGGCATGGATGGGGATGTGAGTACCGTCGATTGCCCCCCCGCAGTTGGGGAAGTCCAGGGCACCAAACCTCTCGATCATTGCGTCTACATCAGTGAGGCGGATGACTCTGCAGAGCAGCACTTTGTTGATGGCCTTGACCACCTGCAGAGGGACACACAAAACCACCGAAAGTCACTGGGGTGCCAGGGCGGCTGAGAGTGCACCTTCCCCACCACTGTCCTGTGCCCCCACTCCCAGAAGCAACCCCCCATAGTGCAGGTGGGACAGAAAAAGCCCTCTTGTGGAGAGGAAATGCACTCCTTCCCCCTCTTTTCCCTAGAGCAGTCCATTCCCTCCTTGCACCCCATCGTGTCCTGTCACTGCAGAGCAGGGTCAAGCCACTCACAGAGTTTCAGGAAGGTGTCCTTATTCATCCTGAAGTTCTGGGTCCATTGTTGGTCTCCCCAGCACTCCAGGACAATATGGTCCCACCAGTCGCTGCCGGTGTGCAGACACCAGATGTGGTGGGGTACGCTGGTGTCTGGGAGCTGCATCTGCTCTTCCCCGTCCCCCAGGAGGGTCTGGAGGACAGTGTAGGGATCAGACTGAAGCAGATGCTGCAAGGCAGCCTGAAGAAAGCACAGCCAGGCTTGCAGCAACATGTCCAAAAGAAGCACCATTGTGCCCAGGAGCAGCTCTGGCTCCATGGTGCCGAATGCTCTGGTATCCCAAGTCATGGCAACCAAAGCAGACAGAGACAAAATGCTTTGCTGTCCCTCAGCGAGGTAGGCAAGCAAGCAGGGAAAGCTGAGAACCAGCTGTCCAGTGGGGTCCCTTTAAGCACAAGCCTCAGATAGCCTCAGGCAGCAGCCACACAAAGTAACTCCTGACCTGATGCCCTGCTGGAACTGGTTTCGGCTGGCCTTAAATGCGATTCAGCATTCAATCAGTGTAGATGCACTATTTCAAAATAGCAGAATGCTATTTCAAAATGCATTTTGTATGTAGACATGTTATTTTGAAATATCTTATTTCAAATTAACTATTTCAAAATAAGATATTTCAAAATAATGCTGTAGTGTAGACATCATACCTTTATATCAACGAAGGCAGAGATAAGGTTAAATGCTGAACTGAAAATGTATCATATTATATCTATGATTAAAATATGCTCTTCTTTTGAGACAATCATCCTTTTGAGATGGCCCAAAAACGGAAAAGATTCTATTTTAAATTAGTTGAGCGACATATGGGCAAACATTCTAATATAAAGCCATTTCTTGTATAATAAATAATTTTAGTTTTGAAGTAAGATAAAGTAAGATCAACTGGTTCATTTTTATAATAAATAATAGGAAAATTACAAAACAGCACTGTAATTCATTTTACTTGAACTTTTGTTTAGCATACATTAAGTTGCATTTTATAAATGCGGGTTTTAGTATACATGGATTGTTTATTTGCTGCTTACATTTTTTAGGAAACAAATTACTTTAAAATTAATAGTCAATAAATGTTGTAAAGGAATATCACTGTTACATGTTGTGTATTTCACACATAATTCAATTTCATAAGTCTCATTTACATGTTTCAATTATAGAGTCTTTAATAAGCAAAGAAAAAGTCTAAAATATGTTATGATTATATTGTGATTATATTGTGTGAAATATTGTATTGTATATAGTCAACACAATGCTGTTTTTAAGACAGAGAAGAGTAAATATGCTCTGTCCCCTTTCTTTTAGGACCCAATACTTATGCTGATGAGCATTTACCAATGTTATAGACTTCAGTGGGATGATTCACACAAACAAATACACACCATAGTATTCAAAGGATGCAAATTCAGGTTATTTAAGATGACCTGCTTGGTCTAGTAGAGACCAGGCCCAAGAGATTTAAGCCATAAAGAACAATCCTAAATATGTCTCTATTGAACATTGGCTTTTTTGTTAAAAATAATCCCACATATTGACAGAGATTAGCTAAATTTAAACAAAATAAGTGAATATTCAAAAGAAAATATATTTGTCTGCTTTTCAAATCATCTAGTTAACAGACTAGAGAGGGTTGATGTGACAAATTCACCTCATAGAAAATATGTCATGACATGATTTTGCCTACCAGACCTAATACCATGATGCACTTGAAAACTACTAATTAAGAAAAACGAAATGTAACTATTCATGAGTAGTTCTACTGAAGTCAAATGAGCTATTCATTCAGCAACTGTATTTGTGTGCCAACCAGTACAACTGGGACCACAGTAGCAAACAACATAAGAAAATAGGAATGGCCCTACTGAGTCAGACCAACAGTCCATCTAGCCCAGTATCCAGTCTGCTGACAGTGGCCAATAACAGATGCTCCAGAGGGATAGAACACAATAGGTAATCCTCATGTGATCCCTCCCCTGTCACCCATTTCCAGACAATACAAATACTCTAAGCAAGTTATTCTATACAAATTGCATTTCTAGTGTAACATCTGATTAAGAGGGTTTTGTCCATGAAAGCTCATGATTCTATATATTTTGGTTTCTCTAAAGGGTCACAGGAACACTCATTGTTTTTAACCTTACAAACTAGCACAGCTATCCCTCTAAGATTTTGTAACAACAGTGTAATTAATGCAGAGGATTTTGTGACCAGTATATGTATAAAAGTGGACATTACAAATTCTGCTCACATTGTACTGAAAGGTAGGTGATTATGTCCAGCTTTTGGCCCACTGAATAAAACTATAATGTAGTTAACATACTGTGTATATTTAAATAAGCTAAATTTTTTGGTAAAAAATGATGCAGTAAAGAGCAGGTGTTGGCATATGAACAGGTCATTGTGTTTTGCCAATTTTTTTTTTTTTATCTTGGAGGGGTCAGCAAACTTCAGTTCCCAGCCAGCAGGGCAAATCAGTGGCGCACTGGCATGTTTTATGTACCTGGAGTATCTGTAGTCACGGAGCCCCTCAGAAGTGGCGTGGGCTGAGGGACTTCCTGGCTGCCACCTCCTGCCACTCCTGTTGGTCAGAAATGGTGAATCACAGACACTGGGAGCTATAGGGCTCCGTGCCTGCAGACACTCCAGGCACACAAAAGGTCCTGACATGCCATCAACTTATACTGATGAGCTGGGACTGGAAGTTTGCAAACAGCTGACATAGAGTTGTCTTATGAAAGGGTCACTGCAATTTTTACAATTTTTTTTTAACTTGGGGAGGTCGGCTTATGAATGAAAAGGCTTATGATAAACTGCATATGGTAACTAAATAACATTTGCGAGCGTGTAATAATTATGAAATGTCTTTAACACAAAAACAAATAACATCTCAAATCCTACCATTTCACCAATCTCGCCGTAAAATATGACAATGAAGAAAATCAGAAAAACACATTACTGAACATTTCATGTTTGTAAGTCTGTGAAATATTCAAACAGTAGAAACATGAACAATTTGTTATCTTAAAATTCAATATTAAAATTTATTATTATAAATGGCAAGGCATTCATATAGAAAGCCATCCCCCAAAATGTCTCAATCAATTATCCTAATATAAGTGACAAAATATTTAATTTATCAGGGGAAAAAATCTCTCAGATAGTGTCACTTTGTCCATTACCTATGCTCTATTTAAGTGGCATGCATTCATTTGCGGACAAGTGAAAGCATTGTCTTCCCAAAACTGCCTACACTGCCTGGCCACATGGGTGACCAGGAAGGATCAGCCTAGAGGGCTGGGGTTGGGTGGGGAGGTTGTTGAAGGGGCATGGTCTTGGGGGAAGTGGTGTGGCTTTGGGTTGAAGGGACAGAGCTTCAGCTTGCCTTCCCCAGCTGGCCTTCCCTCACCACCCATGCACGGAATATTCTCTTAGTGTACATTATCTGAATATAGTTACATGTTTGGACATTCAATAGAAATAGTTACAAGTGTGAATTAGTGGATTAATAAGCATAATATATACATCACTTTTTATTTAGTAACTAAGTATTTATTGAATACAAATGAAGGATTAGATATCTAAAGTATCACATTTCAATTTGTATTAGTGATTATATCAAAATTCCATGTTTTCTATATGACAGGAAAATGGATGCTGTGCACTGACAGTTTCTCTAAAAAGAACAGGTGTTCCACTGTTCGTCAAAAATAAGGTAAACTTGTCCAAGCTTTAAATAAATTGCTATTCTCTGGTATGCTGAGGTATAAGACACAAGATAACCATAATTGTGGTTAAATTAAGAATACACAGCTATTAGTTACCAATCAACATTACAACTCTCTCACAGTTACCCAAAGAATTTATTCAACAATTTATGACCAACCAAGTGGGCTTTCTAGTCCTACCTATATCTCTTTCTATTGTCTCCAGTAACATGCATTTCTATTGTCTCCAGTATGGTTCAGCTGACTTGTTGATAACAGCTTCTTGTTCTTCTGTTGAATGCAACATCAGCCATCATCAAAATCAACATTCTTCATGATTTCATTTTGGATGAGGTACCTGATTTTATCTCCCTGATTTTATCTCCCTGGTAGAGGTTTCTTTAAGTGCCAAGACAATGTTGTAGCCAAGAAAATGTCCCCTCTTTCCAGTTCACATTCAAAGGTCTTTGGTTGCTGTTTATCAAAATAATAAGAAGTCACGGAATACTGCTAGTCTCAATACTAGGACTACATTATCATGTAACATCTGTGGTAAAAACTGTCTTCTGTCAGCAGCTTGATAGGAAACTTCACTCTTTCTTTTCTGGTAAGAATCTAGCCACAGTGATCCATGTGTTCGACACTTCCAGACCAAACGACTGCAACTCACTTTATCTGAGATTGAATGTGAACGAAGAGCAGTGATTTATACACAGTATAACTGCATATATAGTCAGTGAGGTGTTCCACTGTTAACACATCGCTCTGCACTATGGTCCCTCAACTGGTTCACAGTGTTCAGTTACCATTTCAGGCCTTGGTTCATATCCTATCCAAACAGCTGCACTCATCTAGGATAAAATAACTGGCAAAAACAAACAAACAGACTAACCCACATATATGAAACCTAGAAATGAACAATACACAGACACAGTCAAGGCAATTTTTAGTGGCATGAACTTCCAGAAGAGATGAAGTTAATCCAGTATGACCCTCTCTGGTAATACCTTCCCGCCATAACTGGGATGATTTATGAAAAGAATATATGTTGGCATCTTCTATGGCATGTTACCACATATTGAGGATATATGGAGAACATACATTTAACACTGATGTCTTCACATATAGTCTTGATACAAAAAGTGTGATGTTAAAGTTTCTAAATTGACAAAGTTTTGTCTGCTTTGTTTTTGGTGTACACTTTCCGCCACTAATCTCCCAAATGGGACACATTTACGCAGTTAAGTTTTTGATAAAAATGATCTGTCTGTGCTGTTCTCTTTAAAGGGCTTTTTAAATCTTTTCTTATCACTGAATACTGAGAGCAAAATCAATGCACGAGGGACTTTGCAGTTCAGCTGTTGTGGCATAAATCAATATTTAAAATGCACGGTACTGATTTTTCTTCTGTTGAAAGTAGGGCTTTGTGTCCTGAATTTCTGTTCCATTAAAATACATAACTGTCTGGGCTAGAATACAAACTCTAGCACTGGCTTATAACTAGATTTTACTAGCTCAATAATAATATAAAAGAACAGTAATAGAATGGCGAATGTTTGACTTCTGCACTCTTCTGGGTGATTATTCAAGCTCCCGCTTATTGAGTTAGAGAAATCATCTTCGCATCCTTTTCCACTTGCATTCACCAGGTGTTTGGTGTAAGAGTCTTTGGATGGCTCACTTAAAGGGTAAAAGTAGTGAAGTAACTGGAGGAAAACAGGAGCTATTTATCATTGTTTTAAAAGAGAAAACCCCTCTTTCTTCCTCCAAATAACTAATTTCAGCCAAGGAAGTGATCTGCAAGTGCTCATTTTATGGCCTACAGGCTTTCCTCATGCAGATCGTGATTTACGAGCTAGAAAGTGAGGACATCCAATCCAATATAGTTTTGACACTGTATTCACCTCCTTGCTTTGTCACCATGAAACCTTTCATTCTGTAATTATGTCCCAGTTGCACAATGGCCTTTAAAACACCCTTCCCAAGTGCATACCTACCCTTAAGCAAATTTCGCTGCTGTGACTAAACATCCCTTGGGCTTACTGTCTAAATGCATTAATGGCAGAGACAATAGGTAAGAATTCGATGGCTGGGAGTGCTATTCCTGTTTTGACACGCACTGGCCCTCTATCTAGTATTTTCTACTACTACAAGAACAGTGAGGCAGGAGGCTAATGAAGGCAGCTAGCAAAAGAAGCCCTTTAACCTGAAACCTTATCAAAGCCAGCAGGCGCAGCCTTTGAAGTTTGCACACTATTGTGATTCACGCTCTTTTGTGTGCCGGTGCTGCTGCATTGGTTGACGTCCTTTTGCTCTTAGGACCAGGCAGCGGCCTCCGAACCAAAATCCCGAAGGCGTGCACGGGGAGGAAGCGGACGATGGCAATTAGACCTGGAGACTTACTTGCATGAGGAAGGCTGAAACAAGCATCTGCCTCTGCTCACGGAAGGCTCCAGCGCACATCTGCGTCACTGGCAAGGGAGGGGGCGGCTCGGAGGGAGGCGCTGAGGCAGATGGAAAATGGTACAGTGAGGACCTTGACAGCTTCACAGGCGGGGTGCGGGTGCCCCCTCCCCCGTCCCCGTGTATATAAAAGAAGCCCCGCTTGCTCCCCTCACCAGCTCTCAGGCTTTGCTCGCCCACATGACTGAAAGCAGGGGACTCCCCTGCGGGTGTGTGGGGGGCGACTTTGCTCTCTCCTAACTGCGAGGCGGAAGAAGAGCCCCTGGCGTTGCATCCTGGCGGCTGCTGCCGAGCCCGCTCTCGGCTTGTGCCTGTGAATCAGACTAGCGCTTCCTGAGCAGCTCCCTCCTCATCCCCTCTCCTTGCAAGTCTCCCTCGCTGCTGCCTCCCTCTTGCCTGAGAGCTGCCTCTTTCCTCCCCGCCTTCCCAGCCTCCCTGGGCATCGCTCTCCAGCTCAGGGCGCCTCTCCATTCTCGTGCTCCCGGCGTGCGCCTCTCCCGCCCTGCCTCTGCCGCTCGGCCGGGCCCCTCGG